AGTGACACAAGTACAAAAATAAGAACACTGGGGACTGCTTGTTCTCTAGAGGGGGGACTGGAATGGAGAGAGGACAGAGATGAAGGAGGCAGAGTTTCTAACCAAAGAGGTGCTGGTGAGAGAGTCTCTAGGGGGTCTTTGGGAGCGAGCGAGGGTTTCTTGCCCTTGCCAGGTACCCTGTGGAACAAAGTTCCATAAGTGCTTGGAGTGTACCATTCTCTCCTCTGCACCTGTGGAATCTGATCCCGACTCAGTGCAGAGGGCCAGGCTAGGCAAATCAACAACGGTGAGACTGACCCTTACACTACTGCCAGCAAGCATGTGGCTTGGAACAGAGCCTTCTTTGTGGATTCCTGTGAGAGGCATCCTAGGGGAGCCTCTTCAACCTTATTTTTGCTGAGAGGTAGGGTGGGTAAAAGAGCGTCCCACACAGTGACTCCAGAGCCAGTGACCACACATGCTAGCTCCCCAGATCAGCCTTGACACCTTCCTGCAGGTAGACACCCTCAAGTTGGAGAGGTTGATTCCCTGCCCTCCATCCCTGGTTTGCCGGGATCACAGGAAGCTGTGTGTGAAGGGCGTTGCCTCATTTTCCCACACCCTGGCTTGCATTTTCCTGGCTAGTGGAGGAGTTGAATAGACTCCAGCTCTGGAGGGTGGTGAGGCTGCATAGTTGCAGAGAGGGGAAGCTAGAGGGGCGAGTCTCATGTGAGCTGCTGTGGCGAGCCACCGCAGGGCCTGTCTCCTCACCTGTAAAACTGGTGCACTCAATCTACCAGGCCAACCAAGACTGTTCCCTATAAACCAGGACCTTGAGTAGCACTTCATTTAGGAAATAACACTGGCCTGGTGGAGGAGAGGTGTTCAGAGAGGTTCCCAGTTCATGGAGCCCAAACCTGTAACAGGCGCAGAGGAACTGGCATTTGCCTGGGTCCTTTCTCTCTCTAGGGAATCAGAAGGCACCTCTGTCCCCATTTAACCCTGGTTGAAGGGAGTGCAGGAAGTACTGGAGTTTGTTTGACAAGACTTCTTACTGAGAATCTGACACTAGAAGTTTTATTTCAGGTAGTTTAGAGAAGCCACTATGGATGACTTTATTCAGAAGCAGAGTTTGGCGCCCCCAGGGCCAATCTCTAGGTGTGTTGACACCAGACTCTGAGTTCATATCAATCAGGCCTTGGGGTGTAGTTTCAGGAATAGGAGGAAAGGAAGTCAGGGCTAAGTAAGGAAAGCCCAGACTCCGGTGGTGGAGGGAGGGACTGGGTACCTTGAAGCAGTCAAGGTTGGTGGAGGACAAGATGCACCTATCTCATTTCAGGACACCCTGGGGTCCCAGGCCAGAGCCAGTATGGGACAAAAATCCTCTTGCTTTAAACGTAGTCAGGTCAATCTGGGTACAGCTGGGTGAGATGGCATCAGATCGTCCTGCACTCTCAGAATACTTTGCAACCCAGGTAGTCCAAGGTCTTCACAGGGTATGGTGCACCTCCTTATTTGTGTTTATTTTTTCTAGGATCCCAACATCTGTGATCATCAGCTTCTTAGGCCTCAGGCCCAGCACTCAGTCAGCCCTCAGGACATGGATATGGATGTAACATGTGACAGTCTAAACGTGTCCACCTCAAGAAGCACTTTCTGTGCACCTGCTGTGCGCTGGGTCCACAACACTGGTGTGGCGGCTCCCAGCTCAGACTCCGTCTCTATTCCCATGGGTTTAGACTTGGGTGAAAATGAGGCCCCCTTAAAACTAACTTTCACCAGATACCAGTTAGCCTTGCCAACCGGTTTTGCATTTCGTAGACTAATTTATTTGGGCGCTTGGCTACATGCCCGGTGAGTATGAAGTCAAGGTTTGGTCCCAGAGTGGCTGGGAGCTCTCTTGGTTTATTCCATAGGGGTGTCCATGTCCAAGAGAAACACAGAAGCAGCTGTGGGGGCCACAGATATTACTCAAAGGTTGGGGGGATGATCATGAATTTTGTTCACAAGAATGGGTCAAGGCAGTAGGAACTGTGACTTCATAGCTTACTCTAGAGCTTAAGAGACCTTGGATGTGAGTGTGTGAGATAAAGCAGGGACTGGCCAAGCTGGGCTTCAGAAGATCATCACTCCATGCTCTCACGTGCCTTCTTAATGAGCCCCAGTGACTGAGCATTCTGGGAAACGGCCAGAACATGTGTGCTTGACACTAACTGGTTGCATTCCCACCTGTCCCATGATCAATATCCAAGAGGGCTGGCTAAGTTGGAATCAAAGTGGGATCCTATTTTCGTAGTTTTTAGACACTGGGTCAATTTTAGGTCTTATTCTGCCAGACTCCTTTGATGTTGGGAAACTCCCATTCCTCCTATGATCCTCAGTTTCTCAGCCTGAAAAAAATGGGAAGGGTGACTTGATCTAATATAATTCTAACCCAGCTAGGATCCTAGCTAAGTTGTATTGGGAGCATCTTTTCATACACATAGTTTGGCTTTGTGTTCCCAACGCCCCAGGGAAGGTCAGCAGCATTTGCCTTTTGTACACAAAGCAGGTTCAGAGGACTTCTATGTGTTAACTGAAGCCACACAGCCAAGAAGCCACTCAGCTGAGAGTCAGCCTCCAGCTTGTCAGTCTCCTGGCTCAGGCATTTGAGAGCAGGTGCATGAACCTCCACCAACTTAACTTCCAGGCTGCTGCCTTCCTTCCTACTCAGGAGCTCAGCTCCCACTGTGATGTAGGGAGCTAGGGCGTGGAGGGAGCCCTGGTTGAGGCTTAGGGTGTGGTCTACTGGTTGATACAGGTGTGCCACGGCTGAAGACTGAAAGCGAGCAAGAAACTGGCAGCCTGGTCTGGCTGTTCTAGTGGAGCCCGGCTGCCGTTCCTTGCCATCTGGGAACTCTGCTTGGCCTCCTGATTGGTCATTCTCAGAGTCTTCCGTCTTCCCTCAAATTCCTGCCCACACTTCTTAGCCCCCAGAAATGATCACCTAACCCTGGGGAGCTGAGTGCGAGGTGTAAAGACAGCGCTGAAGGGACAGAGTGCAGACCTCTGTCCTAATTAGGGAGGAGACTTCAAGGGAGGCTTTTTATCCCAGTCAGTTCAGTTGCCACCATCCTATGTTTTTGAGAGCTCGGTCTGTTGTCTTCTCAGAACCTTGGGTGGCTTTGACTCCTGCTATGACACCTGGCAGGAGAATCTCTCTCTCCCTGGGCCTCAGTGTCCCCATCAAGGCAATGATAGCCAAGTGGCTGAGACCCATGGACGTCAGGCCTTTCCCACTGATGACATTTTTGGATACCCTGTCATGTACTTTTCCTCTCCTCCCAGAGGCCAGGAACCAGATGCCTTGGGAGAGATATCAAGCTTAAAGATAGCTCTCTCTGTCTGAGTGTTCCCACCAGGTGGCTGCAGGTGCCCCTCCTCCCTCAATGCTCTTCCATCAGGTCCAGGCCCGCGGCAGATCGCGGCCTGGCCCTTTAGCTCTGCTGTTTGGGTAACGCCAGCCAGAGTGAAGGAGCGCAGCGCTACAGCGACTGCGGCGGACGGACGCGGCGGCGCAGGGGGCGGGGGGAGGAAAGAAGAGCCCACTTGTCCCACGGCTCCGCAGCAACCCTGGCCCTGGCCTCGGCGCATCAGAGCGGTCTTTAGAGCCCTGGGGTTTGTTAGCGGGGCCAGAGCCAGCTGGGAGCACACCATCACTCGATCCCACAAAACGACACCCCCCCTCCCCCGGCCCCGCAATCCCCCCAACTCGGCCAGGCTAGCGCAGGTTATTCTTTGCCCCTAGCTGCTGGAGGCAGGGAACCGCGACGCTCCGACGCCTGCCTCACCCTTCCCAAGCCTAAGGGCAAGGAATTCCAAGTCTCAGGCAGAAGATCACAGCTATCAGGGCTGGGGTGGGGGTGGGGATGGGGGTAGGGGCACCATTTTGGGTCGGGCGCTGATCAGATTCCTCTCCCTCGTTGGCCCTTTGGATCCCATCTCCATCGGTATCTCAAGTTTCAGCCTCCCTGTCCCCGCCCCCTACGGGGCTCACCCCGCCAAGGGCGGCTGCAGCTCCTAGCAGCGTCCAGCCCGCAGTTTCTGCCTCCTCTGCTCGCCCTAGGGTCACCCTCCCGGTTCGGTCCAGCTAGTCCTTCCCGCGGAAGATACCGAGAGTGCCCTAGATGCTTAGAGTAGAAGGGTCAAAGTTCGGTCACCAAAGCAGGGGGGAAGGCCCTGAACCCTCAGGGCCTCTACAGGGGCGCGGGAGGTCAGGACGCGGCGCTCCCTCACCTGTTTCTCCGCCGGCTCCTTAGCAGAGACCGCGGGCTTGGGGGAGGGCGCGCGGTCGCAGACACAGCCCTCCAGCAGGTAGAGCCCCGAGGGCCGAGAGCTTGAGTCGCTTTCGAAGTAGAAGAGCAGATTCTGCAGCAGCGCGAACCACTTGGTTTGCCATTTTGTGTTGTCCGAACTCCGCTTGCTCAGGTAGCCTTTGCGCGTGCCGTCCTTGCGCGCCAGCAATCCCAGGGACGCGACGTGGCCATCGTTCAGCCGGATCCCTTTCTGCATGGTGCTCGGAGGCCAGCGAGACCCCACGCGCTTACATCTTCCTCGCGCGGCACCCGGCAGCCCCTCGTCGGTGCGCGCCGCGCTGCCTCTCTCTGGCGCTCGCCGGATCGCTCCCTCTCGTTCCCCCACCCCACCCTCCTCAAGATCTACACTCCAGGACCTGGCGCCGAGCTGGGATTTCTTGAACCTAGAGGGACTATTCCTTATTGGAACCTTTTCTCCTCTCCGTAGAGCCCCGGGGCCCCGGGAGATGTCGCCCGACCCTGCCCCGGCAAACTGAGGGACGGGCGGTCTGCGCGCTGGCTAGGGGCAGGCGGAGTCATGTGACGCCGATCCCTCGAAGAGCGGGTTTCAGCAGCGCGGACAGGGACACACGCACGCAGCCCCGCCGAGGCGCAGAGCCGCACGCAGGCTGCACCTTGGCGCCTCCTCCCCCTCCCTGGACACACACACACACACACACACACACACACACACACACACACACACACACACACACACACACACACACGCCTCGCCCTCCCTCCCTGTCTTCATCTTCTCCATTCCGGGTGTTCTAAACCAAATCAGATCAATTTTCGTTCAATCCAATGGAACCCCGGAGACTCACCGTCCCCGGAGTTTGCGTTCTTTGCGCACCGCTGCGGCGCACTCTAGACCTAGGGTAAGCCCCATTTGTCATTTTCTCTCTTACAGCCTCCCCTCCCCTTCCTCCAGTACTTTATTTTTCTAATCCAAGGTGGATGGCGAAAGGGATGGAATATGTACTAGTTTTGCATAACCGTTCGGGTCTCATTCCTTTCAGTTTCAGCCCTATCCCCCACGGCTTTGCCGGTGATTTGAAAATACAGGGGTTAGGTTGGGAGGGTAGAGGTGACCGTTTATATTATTTCATTTTGAGCGTTGCCATAATTACCGGCATCACCCAGTGAACCCTAAGGTCTGGCTGGCAAGCCGCTGCTGGGAGTTTTCAGCAAATACCCCTGAAGCCTGAAGGCGGGCTTCAAACGCAGGCGCCGGGGACCATGGGAGCCTTCAAATAGCTGCGCTGGCGCAATGATACCTTAATGATAGATTTTCCGTTCTTATTTTTAGCTCCCATTCGCCTACACAGTTACACGGCATTTATCCGAGAACGTCACAGCGCCCGCATGCTGCACCGGCAGAGCGCGCGGGCTGCCGGGCCAGCCTGGTGCTGGAGCGGGGAGCGCGCACCGCGGTCTGCCGCAGAGGGCAGCGGCCTCGCTGAGACCTGAGAGCAGGAGTAGCGCTGACAGTTTGCAGCCCGGACGGGTGTCCGCGCAGCGCAGCCCTCTGGAGGAAGAATACCATCTTTCCTCACAGAAGCCCTTCCCCCTTACACACACACGCACACACACACACACACACACACACACACACACACACACAGAAATGCGATCCTTTATTTCTTGATTTCTAACTTTCTTCTTTCTCTTGACTCCCTCTTCTCTCCCCCTTCCCACCAAGACCCTCTCCTCTTTTCAGGCAGGATCTTGTGATATAGCCCAGGCTAGCTTGCATTGATCCTCTCCCCTCAGTGTCCTGAGGGAAGACACGTGTTTAATTTCCCCTGCCTTCTCTATGGAAGCGGAATGTTCAGGATTCTTTTTTAAAATATAAATCCCGATTACTGTGCTAAGCACTTTGCTCAGTTACATCATCATATCTTCTCTCAAGCCTCCGGCAAAGGTTGGGCTTGGGTTCACCTGCCTCTGGCTACTGTCACGGAAAGCGGCAGAGGTGGGATTTGATCCAGGTTGGGGCATATGTAGAGCAGGGTTTCCAGTTGCACTGAGGTTGGAGTTCATCCCACAAAGGAGCAGGATAGGGAGAAAGGGTATCTCTAGGTGAGCTAGAGCCGAGGTTTGGCCTGCATGGAGGCTTGTGTGGCAGGCTGACCTACAGTACATGGTTCTTCTGAACCTGGGCCACATAAGGGTGGGTAATGCACTTCCACAAATAATCTACCACTTGGAGACTCACTAACTGCTGCATGATGGCAGGACCAGCCATGCTGCCTCAGGCACATGAATCACCTGGGATCGCTGTCAGAGAGTACCTTCTCATTCTGTGGAGTTGTCCAGGGTCTGGGAACCTGCATTTCTGACAAGTCCGCCAGTCATGCAGCCGCGCAGCCTCAAAGTTGTGTAGCTCACTCATCAGATGCTGGGGCACTCAGGGTGTGGGAGAGGGTGGGACCCATCCATTTGTTCACTCTCACACTTCTTATTCCGTTGGCTGGGCCCTGGAGACACAATGATAAGAAAAACTTATTCCCTGCCTTCCTGGACTGGCTTAGGAACTCCTTTGCTGTGTGGCTCCTAGAAGAGCCAGAGGAAAACCCTCTTTCTCTGGGGGCTCCAGAAGATGTGCTGATCAGAGGTGCCAGTCAGGATCAGAGTTGAACCCACTTCAGAGGCTCTGAACTCTAGTGTGCTTGAGAGATTTAAAGTCTGTGTTCAGGTCTTCCTGTGGGCCAGTGAAGTCAGAAGCATGGAGGTTGGACATGCATATCTTACTTAGAAGGTTCTCGGAGATGCCAACATGGAGCCAGGACTAAGAACCACTAAAGCCTGGGACAAACGATCCATGCACTGAGTCCTCCTGCCTTGGTCAGCACTGGAGAGATGCAGTCACATGCTCTCGCTAATCCTGTGATTCTGGGATTTCCTGGTGAGCTAGACCATGCTGGCTGCAAGGGTGGTTCTGGCTCCTGCTGTGTTAGAGAGAGAAAAATGGTCTGAATCCTGCCTGGCAATTTGATTACTCTTATCTAAGCTGCATGAATATTTTTTTTTCACCATAGGCAGAAACCCGAGTCTCAACTTTGGCCTCTTGGTAGTCTTTTGACTGGAATCAAGCTCAAGTCTCTTGGAAGCCACTTAATGATGTTGGCTGAGTAATGATGTCGCCTGAGGTGATACCATTCACGAGGTTGGTCCTGCTTGGCTGCTGTAAGAGGTGCCAAAGAAAATGTGGGCATGTGCTGTGTAGCTATTTCTTCTGAATTGAAATATTCCCTCTTAGAGGGAGGAGGAAGGCTCATAAGACCCAAGAAGTTTAAGAAACTTACTAGGTTCTTTTCTCAGTCACTGTTCTATTGTGAAGGCACCAAGACCAAGGCAACGCTTAGATGAGCAGTTACAATTGCTGGGGTGGGTGGTGGTACTGAAGGAGGAAATCTTTACCAGAGCTGCCAGCATGCTAGGCAGGAAGCTCCAAGGACGCACCCATATTTGGGAGGGGTATAGCTTAGGGATACAGCTGCCTTTGAGTTACCCATGCCTTGTAAGTAAATCCAAAATTTCATTGGTTCACCCAGTCAGATTTGGATAAAATTCTTTGGCCTATCATTGTTGCCCTATCTGTAGTAAATAAATGTTAATTCCAAGCCCACTCCCCACACCACTGCCCAAACTGCACAACACAACACCTTGGCATAACTGGTAGAAATGGGTATACTTGAAGATGAAACGCACTGTTTATGGGGTAAGAACTTAGCCTCTCCTTCAGGAAAAGACAGAGGCTGACTAACCATAGTGCATTTGGGCCTTGCCTTGATGCACTCCTCCCTCCCAATAAGATTTTGAATAGCAGTTAATAACCTCGTTTCCCAGTTGGAGAAACTGAGGCTTCCCACTGTAGAATGTGTGTGCACATGCAATCACACACTTAGAGAATTTTTGCTTTTTTGACAACATATTTAAAAAGAAAAAGGTAGTCCATATAGCTTTGAAAAAGACAGAAAATTTATCGAGTCAGAGAACTTTTGGACATGTGTCCTTTGTCTGTGCGAGTTCCAATTCTGTTTTCAGACTCCATTGATCGCCTTGAGCAGATACCTAGTGAGGAGAAGGGGTCCACACTTTCAGCTTGTATTAGCCATGTTATTCTGTCTGCTTCTAAGAGTGATGAAGGTTCTTTGTAAAACAAACAAGCAAAAAAAATAATAAGATCACACAAGGAATAAAAAGACAACATCACCAAAGATTCTTCTTAAAACTTTTTTCTATAAAATCCTTTTGCTTTTTTCAGATATAAATGTATTCCCCGAAATGGCTTTCTAAAGTACCTCTTTCTTTATCTCCTCCACACTATGTGGAAATACTTCTTTGTACTACTACACATTCAATTATCATCTTATTATGGACACGAGTTGGAGTCAGTTCATTGCTTTTGGCATCCAAATGCGATGGTTATGGTTGTATTTACACCTCCAGTCTCAGGCTGAGTTCCTTGAGGTGGGGCTTGTGGGTGAGGGGATACATGTCTGAACACTGCTGTGTATCGCTTCATTTCCAGTAGGTCAGCTATTAGTCTTCACTTTGAGCCACCAACATAGGAGGAGAAAGCCAGTTTCTTCACCCTGTTATCAAGATATTGATGTTGTCCAGTTTCTTAAATATTTGCTCATTAGAAGGCCCAAAAGTAACATCTCATATTGTATTAATTTTCACTTATTCTATTAATGTATTGATTTTTAATTGCATACAGTCAGGACATTCCTTCTCTTTTGATTTGTTTTGCTTATATTAAAAATTTTAAGTTTGAAGATGAACTTTTATTTTCTTGTAGTTTTGTCAGTATTTCATAAAAGAATAGCCAGTGAGTCCATGAATGATGCAAGTAACTTACATAGTGTCTTGCTTGTCTTTTTCATCATTGTAGCCAAATAACACAAGTATTTCTTATATTTTTGGTTGTGAGCCTAACCTTTAACGGCTGAGCCATCTCTCCAGCCCAACACAAGTATTTCTTAAACACCTGCCTCCCCGTTTTAGACAGGATCTCTTTGCATATAGCGCTAGCTGTCCCAGTACTGGTTGTGTAGAACAAACTGGCCTCAATCTCACAGGGATCTGATTGTCTCTGCCTCCTGAGTGCTGGGATTTAAAGGTAAACACTGTCACACCCGGGCTTTACAGTGTTCTTAAGTATCTTCATTTATCAAGCTCCAGAAAAATATCGTAAGATACATTCTTTTATAATGTGTTTTGTCTTCTTATCCAAAAAAGTTCATCACTCAAATTCTTTGTCCTTAATGCTTTGGTAGAATGTTTTAGTTTCCTTTATATGTGATTGCATATTTATTGATTTATATTTTATTTAATGATTGCTATTGGAAACATGCCATTTTTATGTTTTGAACCTAATTAATTTTTCTGAGATGTGCTGTGTTGTGCATGCTGGGCTCAAACTTGGAGACTTTCCCACCTTAGCTTTCACAGTAGCTGAGATTACAGGCACATCCCATACACCTGGTTTCTTAAAAGCGAACATCAATGGCATGAAAAGGAAGTTATTGCTATTTATGTATTTATTTTTAAGCCACTACTATGTACTGAATTTTTCTGATTTTTAAAAATTTTAGCTCATCTTTTTAAATTTGCTTGTTAAATGAGTGGAATATATCAATGTATTTCTCAACACTTAGTAACAATAATATCTTTTAGACAAACCCCACTTAAACATGGAGAATTTTTATGCTATTAATTTATTTAGCTTATCTTTTCTTGAGTCAATCTTAGTGACACAATCTCCAAGATCTTTTGTTTCCACTTTATTGCATTCACTATCAAATACTGTCTTATTATTCTAATTTTCTCCATTTTGCCACTTTTGCATTTAATAGGCTGATTTTGTCTTTATGGAATTGGTCTTTTCTTATAAATATTTATACTATTAATATGTTCAATCACTTATTGATTCTATTCTTTCCTAACTCATCAACACAGTCCCTATCTTTGCTATATTATTTTTCCTCCTACCTCTTGTATGCATGTTTTATTTTAATAATTTCTTGTTTAAGTAACAATAGTGTTTAAGGCTGGTTTTTTTCTTGTATGAACTGATTCTGCCTCTTCCCCCAATCCTATAGAATTATTACATAAAGCAAATGCATTGGGACTGCTATATAAATCTCTGTGTATCACTACAGTGAAAGACTCAGAAATGAATTTGCCCTTTAGGTGGATAATTACCGTATGACTTGTTTTTGGTGAGGGGAACAGGGTCTCACTGAATGGACCTGACTAGCCTAGAACTTGCTTTGTAGACCAGTCTGGCCTTGCATTCACTGAGACCTGCCTGTCTCTGCCTTCCTAGTGCTGGGATTAAAGGGAGACATGCACTGTCATGCCTGACCATCAAGTTGTAATCGAATGCCTTTTGTATTTCCAAGCCGAGTTTTTGCTTGCTTTGCTAATGTCTGGCTCTGTTGCACTTCATTCAGAGAATGTACTCCGTGTTATTTTACACGTATTGAAATTGATGGCTGTTTTTGTTGTGTTTCGCAGCTGGCCAGTTTCTGACTGTTCACGGGATTCTGGGAAAGACACACATCAGGTTCACAGGGTTTGGAGACTGACACAAATCTAGTGATTCAGTTTGATAAGTTACAATGCACACGGACAAAGCTCTAATTGTGACCCGTGGTCAGCATAGCTAACTGGCAGCTGTGAAAAGAAGTGCCAGATGGACATGGGAACTCTGAGGGCAGCTGGTGAACACTCTCCTTTCAGGCCACCGGTGTCCTGGTGGTGCAGGAACTTGCCAGGGTCCTGAACTCAGTTGTAGACTAAGAAGCAAACATGAGGTAGACAAAAGACATCACCTTGCTCATGTGTTCCCAAGCTCTGATCCCAGGGGACTTAAACTTCCAATGGTCTACCTAGCACATTACCAGTTGCGTCTGCGTGTTTTCTCTCAATTTAATCACTGTTGTCATGATATTAAGATGTGAGCCCTTTAAAAGATGTTGTACCATGGGGCCTCTGCTTTTCAAGCAGATTAATGTTGTTACCAATGGGAGTAGGTTAATTGTCACAGGCATGGACCCCTGGGAAAACAAGTAGATTTGACACGTTTCTCTGTCTTACATATGCTTTCTTGCTTTCATATAAGGTTATGACCAACACAAAAGGCCTTTGCCAGATGCTGGTACATGGTTTGCCCTTCTTAGTCTCTACAACCAGGAGTTGAAATTCTGTTGTTTCTAAGCTCCCCACTCTGTGGCATTCTGTCGTAGCATCCGGGAGTGGACTAATTCATTCCTTTTATATCCAAACTGCACAGTGCCTTCCAGTGACTTGGTGATAAGACCATCCAGTCCATCCAAAACCCAGAGCCAAGAATTCACAGATGACTGAGCCAGCTGTGTAGCTCACAATAAATGAAGAAAAAGTAAACACATCCTTGTGATCGCAGTCAATACAGGGCAGGTGGGAGTGCATTCATCAGAAGTGGTGACCTTGTGCAGGTACCCCTGCCTGCCATGGCAGGCTTAGCCTAAGCTCATTTCCATTCAGTCCTGTGGCCCTGGTGTCCGGTCTCAGTCTCTGGTCTTTCCTAGACCAAGGGGTTCCTGTTGGGTTTGGATAAAGAAGAACGTTTTCCCGGATGAAACGGGGAGAGAGGTTGGTGTTGCAACCTTTTTGCTTATCTCCCAGGACTATGCTTAGGCTCCAAGCTCTGTTCTCCACCCTTCTACTCAGGAAGAGGGATTGGTACTTAATACCCTAGGGCAGTGTGATTTTGTGTTTCCCTACTGCTAGTTCAAACCTTTCTAAAATCATCTTTCACATACTGCCTTTTTGTTTTTGTATGGTTTTTTTTTTGTTTTTATTGAGACAGTATTTCTCTGTGTAGCCCTTGCTATCCTCAAACTGGCTCTGTAGATCAGGCTGGCTTTGAACTGAAAGATCCCTCCTGCCTCTGCCTGCTGAGTGCTGGGATTAAAGGTGTGCACCACCACCACCTGGCTCATGTACTGTTTTAATTACCCAGTTCCAGTGCTCTGTTTCCTGTTCGACCTTAACTTGTACGGAGCTGGTGAGAAATTCACAGATAATTCAGTTCTACGTTCTTAGCATCTGGTTGCAACTCAAGGTTATAGGAAGTCACGGCTAGCTAGAACTTCATCTAGGACCCTGGAG